GCTTGTGAACTAAAAATTTGTTACAATAGCAACAAAAAAAAAAAAAAAAGTCAATCATAGAGAAAAACCTATTAAGAAACAAAAGGACGATCAGAAAAGTCCTGGAAAATTCGACGCAGAGACGGAAAAACAAGAGATGATCAGAAAAATCCCAACTTTTGAATTTCATTATTTTCAAATAACAATGAACCAAACATTTATTTCGACCTTGTTAATAGGTGAAGTTTTGGACTTGATCACGCGGAAATATATTCAAGCACCCTCCCTCCGTTTCCTGCACTAAATGCCATTTTTAGATAACATAGCAAGATCATCCAGTTGAAATTCCATTCCGATTTTTAAATTCCATTTCGATTTCCACTCTAAAACCAACCTTTTTCTTCGACTGATTGAGCAATTCCCTATAATTTTCGGAACGCAAAAATCGTTGGTAACTGTCATTTTTCATCAAACAAAAGATATGATCCTGAAATTTATAGGATCTTTATGCAAACGAAACTGCTTTTTAATATTTTTTACTACGAATTTCATTCGACAAATACTAATAACGTAAATACTAGCATATTTTTGGAGCAGCTACGAGATTTGCTACATTAAATAGTCCTAATGACCCTTCATTACGGCCAACTGGCGTTGTTGAAAATTCTATTCAATTGTTCTACCATGATATGTTTAAGTGCAAAAAGCTTTTCCTAATCTAAATTTAATATTGCTGAAACTCTAAAACATAACTTACATCAATATTTTAATGCTGATATATATCAGAGAATCGAATTAACGTTACATGTTACTTGTAGCTGAACTTGATGAGCTATGTCAACATTTGATAGCAATTACTTTTGAAATTATCAAGTTCTACAACAGTATGATTAAATTAAAAAAACTGGATTCTTACCGCAGCCTCATCAAATGACCAACGGTTTGGATTTTTCAAATTTTCTTCCGTCTGATCCATCACTTTACAATCGATATTAACAGGTGATGTTGCGTTTTTATCAATAAATTCATTATATATTTCAGTCACTAGCACAGGTACCATACGACACGCACATTTCCGTAGTTTTTGGACCTAAGTGAAAAGAAAACTATCCTGTCTTACGAGAACTAATTTACTGACAAAATGAGACAAAATAATTTAACAAACTTGGCAAATTAAATGAGTCTATTGACTACTTATATCTTAGTTTTCCAGCAATTCTTCTTCCGCTATTTGACAACAACATAAAGAAACTAGCTATTCTTTATTCCACCCAGTTTCTTTAAGCAAAATATTAATTTCTTCGATGTCTTAGAAATACTATGAAAACTCTTACATCATATTATTTGTCATAACATGATAACCGATATAAAAATGGTGAGAAGCATAATAAATGATATAAAGGTGAATACATCTTATTAAAAATAGGGAAGAAATAAAAATTCTGAAAAGAAATCACTTACCTGCCACCAAAAGCGTAAATTCTCTCCAGAATATTCTTTGTCGGAGAATTTCTGCAACGTTTCCCTACCTATTTCATCGCACAATAATTCTTCAAAGCTCTCCTCCCATAATTTCAAACGACGCATTGATATATCACCGGTGCTGAAGAATGAAAAATATATCATTATCGTACTATGAAAATTACCTTTAATCAGTCACAACAACGCAAAATGATTTATTACTAACCTAATTTGACGTCAAATTTTTTTTCTCATATTCTTTTCTTCATTTTAAGGTGGTGAGGAGAAACAAACAGAAGTAATTAACGCTTAAATGACAAATTTTTATATTTTTCTTTACTCAATTATTTAATATAACTTGTCGCTAACGAACTGGTTTACAAATCTACCAAGAATGTTTCACTATGGCAAAAGTGATAGCATAATGCAACGCTTTTCCTTTCACTCTATTTCATTTTTTTACAAACATTTTCATACATTTTATCATGTTGCCAATAATCAACGGTATCAGAAATCCATGGATTTGGATGACTCTGGAATGAATCAGCTGCTGTGCCAGGTTGAGTTAGAAATGGATCAAAAATACGACGATGATCGAAATATTGCAAATAACTGAAGAAACAATAATATATATGACTTTTATTTATATATGTGATGAAAGATGAAACAAAGATAAATTGATGATGATAAGGGATTAAGGAGGCTTAACACTCATCATATAATCAATTTTTTGGAACTGTTTTTCAAACCAAATTTCGAAAAAAAATTAGCCATGCTGGATATCTCGAAAAAAAGATTTAACCACACTGGATGTTAACAAATTGAGTATATCTGAGGAAAGATTTCAAAATTTAATAAAAAATCGTCAAAGTAGTGCTGAAAATCCTTTAATTTTTCAAAGTCAAAGTAGTGCTGAAAATCCTTTAATTTTTCAAATCCAGTTTGCTGACTTTTAATTTTATGCTAGTAAAATAAAACAAAAATTTACTTTTCGATAACCTTGGACGTTTTGATAACGTTCTTCGTTAGTCGTGCTTCCAAAGCAGTAATCTGTAAATAAACCAAAATACCTAGAAATGCACACGGATATTTTTCCGTACAGAGTGATATGCGAAGACCTTTCTCGACATTTCAATAATCCTAACACTGGAAGATGTGTTGCAATGTAAGCGAAATACTGGCACCTTAGAAGTGATAAGAAACTAAAATGGAACCGAACTGTAGTTTTTGTTTTAAGGGAAAACCGGCAGAAAATTGGTCATATTGTCTATTTATAACCAGCGAATAAAATTTAACCATAGCCTTAATTTAAAAACCTTTTCTTTCTAACCCTAGCACGTTCTTAGCAACTCTGTAATAACACAATATGCCAATTCTAAATTAATCTACCTCGATTATAGAAAGATTCACGTTTATCATAAACATCACTTATCAAGCAGAAATCATATACCTCCTGTTTTAATGTATCCTGCACTCTAGTACACCGTCTAATACCAGGTCTTTGGCTGTAATATTGTACTGATGATGCTGATGGTGATACATAGGGTGGTGTTTGTTGATTTGCCATGGAGGAAGATGTATTAGTTGCACCATTTAAAATGGAACTTGAGCAAGAAGGCGTTTGTCCAGCTGCATGTGCAGCTGCAGCTGAAGTCGAATACGGTAAAGTGATATTCGAACACGATGCAACAGCAGCATGAGTAGATAAACTATACTTCGGCCGTCCTATAAATAATTATTCGCGTAACCTTTGCTAATGTGCAATAAGTTATTTATAAATATAGCAAAAGTAATGAAGATTTGAATTAAATGAATTAATCAGCTGTTGCTCTGTAGGATTGGGTTATGTAACCAGAGAATAAAAGGGAAAATTTTCCTTTCATATTCAATATATTTATTTATTCCTACTGAAATATCTCCAATAAAGAAAATAAGTGCTCATTATCATACCTGATCTTGATAGTTTTCGGAAATCCACTTCTGTAGTGTTTACACAACCCGGCACAGGCCTATGAACATCCCAAAAAGCACGCTCCTGGCTGTCCAAAATTTGTCGTTCTTGACGATCACGTTTTTTGTCAACCCTAAAATAGGTACATGTAAGATCGATTAATGATGATTAACTCGATATTTAATGAATCAAAATCATTGGAAAAAAGAAAATGATGTACTGATGTCCGAAAATAGGAGGGAAAAGTTTTTATGAAAAACAAAAAGTTCCGATTCAGAACAACGTTAAAAGTAATAATGTCTCTTCCAATACTATTCAACTGAACGTTGCAAAGGACACACAGATGTCAAGATAACAAATTAAGAATTAAGAAAAGGGAATGTATGGAAAATAAATACCTATACTGAGCTTCAGCTTGCATAAAAACAAATTCCCACTTCCGGCTGAACATTTTTTGTAACTTCGCTAAATTCTCCGCTTCGAAATCTTCCAATTCCAAATGTGCTTTATTTTGCATAGTACGCTTACACAAATACACGGCTGTAAACAATTGGAGAAAACCTCAAAATACCGACAAAGTTTTTCCTTAATGAAATCGGCAAATTTATTGCTGCTTATGACATAGAGGGATGCATATCGTCCGGTCAAATTGGTCGGCTATTGCAAGGGTCATTTAATATGCCTATGGTCAATAATAAAGTTTTTCTGGACAATTATATTCGATATGCAACTACTTCTTAAACATATTGACCGCATCCTATAGAAAAGCTTAATGACCTTGGAAGGATTGAATCAATTAAAGGACTTCCCGTCTCATCAGTGACAAAAGTAGATAAACAATATCACATATTATAATAAACATTACCGGAATCAAAAGAACAACATGAGAGGAAATAACCAACCGTAATCCATATTTTCCGGTTCCCAACAATTCGATGGCCAGAAGTAAGGAGTTTGAAATCGATAAAAAGTACCATCATTTTTCACAGTTAAAACATGATCATCAATTTGAAATAAATAGCCATGAGATGCGATCAAATGGGATAAATGAAGTGCATCAGCTGGAAAAAAAATTTTTTTATTTTATAACTTTCATTCCAGAAAGATCATAACCTGTAACATATTACCTTAAACACTTATCATCATCATCATCATTAATATCACAAATGTCTAATTATAGTATTATTCAAAACATATATTTTGCAACAAACTAACTAAATGATCGTTTTAAAGACAGCATCTAGAATTCACTATTTAATTGTGATTTCAAAGCCTAACCGTTTAGTTCGTTTTTCAAACTGATTCAAATCACTTGATCCTACTATTGCTTCAAGCAGTTAATTTTAAAAATTATCAAATGGGATCACTTCCACATTCTCTCATTTGGGTTTTTTTTTACTTTTTAATTCAGCTAATCCAACCATATTTATACACACAAACAGTACAGCTCAATATCATTAAAGCTCAAGTAATAACATTTCGAGGTTTATAATTAACTATTAAGATATATATCTTCAAATTAAGCTCAACCAATCATATTTTAATGCATGATAAATTTACGCAAATACTGCCAGTTAGTATATAAATCCGAGAAAATAAAGAAACCAAAAAAAAAGAACATGCGAGAAATATACCGAGATCTGTCACATTCATATTTTTCATAATCCAAGCGATGAGATCTTGACCAGTAAAAACGGAAGGAATCTGAAACAGGATCAAAAGAAAAATATACGAAAGGTATTAGTGCAAAATAATGATTATGACTAAGTTCTTAGATGGATATGATTATTTTTGTTTTCTTTATTCATTACAAAAATAAGATAGATACCATTTTACAGGTATAAAATTACTGCTAAAGAGTAACGAACTTTTATTGAATTACTTTACTGCTATAATTACTGCTATAAGAGAATAATGATAGAAATACGTTATTGTGGATGTAGAATAATGGAAAAGTAATAAAGACATCACATAAGCCCACAATTTGGCAAAAATTAATAATTTCATTATAAAATGAATATTGCAAATATTTGATAGAAGTAGAAAGGTTATTCTTTGTAAATATGCAAACAATTAATTATTTAAACACATTACGTTTTCTCGTAAATTATATAATTTTAATCAAACATTTTTTGAAAAAAAAAGCAAAAAAAAATGAAAAGTTGAAAAACATATTTTAATAAAACATTTTTTTCAATTTTAATAAAATATTTTTTCAATTTTAATCAAACATTTTTTTCAATTTTAATCAAACATTTTTTGTAAAAAAGCAAAAAAAATAATAAATTGAAAAACATACTTTTGTTAGGAAACTCTTAACAGTCTTAATAGGTACTCCATTATCAGGATCTAACATTGTTTGCACCAAATTTTCCAATTTCTGATAAATCATATGATTTGGATGAACCATTCTTTCTTCAATACTTGCATTAGCTCGTAACCTTGGTAATGCCATTTATGTCCTTCACTAGTATCCGCTTTCCTTCCAAAATATTTCAAATTTTGGAAGGGAAAAAAAACAAAAAGAAATCAAATTTGTGTTGTAATAGCATAAAATTTGATAAAATCAAATTTTCCTGATCGATTAACTTTATTGAATATTTTGAATACATCTTTAATTTTGAATATATTTATTGAATACATGCAAGTAGTTGAATTCCGTTCAATTATTTCCTCTTCACCAATGCGATAATGTCATTCTCTTATAAAATGAAGTGCTGGAAAATTGAATAGTACCATTACCCTATAAATAATTTGTAATGAAAATTTAAATATTACTAAATAATTAGATGATCATTTAGTTGTATCGTCGCAATGCCAAGTAAGCAAAAAAAACCCCATCAAACATTACACTGAAATATTTCTAAAATGAGCGAGAAACTTTTTGTGATATCCTATGAAGCGATATTTGTTAGAACAAAATATATTTGAACATACTTATCGATTTTTATTACTGATTCGGTTTTAGTTAACCGGTTTTCACCCTTATAATACATAATGCTTAACCGATGATCTGCGAAAACAACGGCGCAGTGAGAACAAAAAAAAAAAAAAAGGCAGGAACTGTTCTTATCAATATTTGATAAACTAATATGTCACAAATTTTTCCCTTAAAGCTTATCTCGTAATTAAAGAATCAATTATTTCCGAATCTCCCCATCATAAATAAAAACGCTAAAGTGATCCAAAGATGAAGGAAAGTTTGGGAATCATTGATCTCCAAATCATTTTTGAACATTTTGCAGAAATCGATAAAATTTCTCTTTTTCTTCTTTTTTCTTTGTCTTAAAATATTGATAACAATCTCCTATTTTATGACTAAAAACCCGAGAGAAAATCCATACCCTTTTGGGAATTCTTATTTGTTTTTTCTTTTTTCTTTTTTTAAGAAGGAAGAAAATTTATCTTAGAAAAATAACCTAGACAAAATGATGCCTAATAGTTGTAGTAGAATAATGAAAACATGAATCAATCCATCAATTCTCGAGATATGCTAAAGGATAATAAACAAAATTAATGACATTGTTAGGATGATGAATAAAAACGATAAATATGAGAAAAGAATAAATAGGTTTGGAAGAAAATTTTGAAAACTTCATATCTTTTCATCAACTTCATTCATCAATAAATTGCTTATAAGATAGATTAATCGTTCCAGATTTGTGGTTGATGAATGATAATTAATATTATCACTATAATAAGTACGATGGAACAATTAGCTATCAGTGAAGAGAACAAAAATTATTCAAATAAGCCATAACACTTTAATCCTTAATGGAAATATGAAGTGCACTTCAAAATAAAAAAGAAAAAAATGGAAAATGGAGATTTAAAAAATAATAGTAATAATTTGTGATTTCATGCATACAATCTGATAACAAACTTGCGCATACAATAAACATTTATCAGCGTTGTTTGATATTTAATTTAAATATCAACCAGAGGGATTTGATATTTAAATGGAACCTCGCATTTCACATTCTATGAGCAAATATAACAGTAATTTAAAAAAAACAAATTGTGGAAATATTTGTAGATGACATTCAGAAAATCACGTGAATTTCTTATGTGACATAATAAGCTCTTATAAAACAATGAGATTCGCAAAATCCCAATGGACTAATGTGACAAGATATACAAACAAAATGTCCGTTTTTCCGAAAAAGTAAGCAAACTATCGGAAATAAACTAACCGAATGGATAAATTAATATGAGGAATGGAGAAGATTCAATCCGGCATACTGGAATTCCTCCTGTTTAATGAATCCTGCCTGATATTACGGGAAAAAAGAAAAAGTAGAAGTCGATGAAGAAAGAGGAAAACAAAACGAAACAAATGAAAAATTAAAAGAAGGAAAAGGAAAAGAGAATGCGAGAGTAGTAAGAGTGAATAATGAAATAAGAGAGGGAGAGGGAAAAGAGAGAGGCGAGAAACGTGAAGAGTATACTCATTATTACCATCATTACTAGAAGCAATCAGATATATGCAGAGATATATATAAACATAAATATATAAACATCTTGGCATATAGATAGAAGAGATAGTAGGAAAGAGGAAAGAAAAAGAAAGAGAAACCATCAAATATAAAGATAATACTAAGAGAGGAGGATGGAGAGGGAAAGAAAAAAGAAAAGCATTCGAAGTTTTGAGGATATTACGTATACTTGTATTTTCTTTTCCGTTAACTTCCCTTCTCCCTTCGTCCCTCTCTATCTTATTTTTGTCCCTCTAGAAACTATCCCTTTCATCTTCAAAGAGAAAAAAAATTTTCCCATTCAAAACGTATTCTTTCCTTTCCTATTCAAAACGTATTTCTCCATTTCATCACCCGTTCAATTCAACAACATGCAAATTTTCTCTCTCCACTACCATATCATGCGAAAGGGGCTAGATTGGAGGGAAGATATGTGATAACGATAAAAAAAAAGCAAACAATAAACAGATAAATAATAACAATGATAATAACAATAACAATAACAACAACAATAATAACAATGATAAACAACAACAATAAACAGTAACATAAACATTAATAAACAATATCGCGAAC